GGCTTTACTATTGTTGGGGGGTTTTAGGGTCTATAGGGTCTATAAGTTTCAGGATTCACAAGGGTGTAGGGTCCAAGGGTCTGTAGGGTTTCGGACTCATCAGGGTTCAGGGTTGAGGAAGTTGCGGGCTTCATTTTGCCACGGGCGCCGTGCTAAATTTACAGAAAGCTACGCTGTGGGGGCCGTGTTTTTTTTTTTGTGTGTTGCTTCGTGTCATAATAATCATATATTGCTACACCGAGTCCTGCATTTGTTGCGTCCTTTGTTACACGATTGATGCTTCTACGTTGCGTAGTATGTAGCGAGGGTTTCACGGAAGATGCCGGGCTGGTATCGGGGCTTAGGGTTTAGGGTTTAGGGTTTAGGGTTTAGGGCCTGAGTAAGTTCAACAGGGTTTGGGGGTCTGTTGTAACGTTAGTTGCAAGAAGACGGTAGACTAAGGAATACTTGCCCTAATTGTTTAAACCCTGTAGCAAGGCTTTCTGGAAATGACCGAAATTAAACGATGGCTCTGAGGAAGTCCAGAACCTAGTGCATCGTAAGGCCAAGGATTTCAATTGTTTAGGGCTTCTGGGTTAGGGTCTGGGCTTGGGGTTTCGGGTTGTGAGGTTTAGGGTTTCGGGCTTAAGGGGAGCTTAGGAGATTACAGTTGGCTTCCTTCAAGGCTGTCGGGATATGGCTTTCTATCTGTTTGAATGCTGATGGTTGCCAGCCACCAGCGAGGTTGGCAATCGGCGATCTGTTGGGGCTTAAGGTTTCGGCTCCCCAAACTCACCAATGCGGTGACCTCCAACCCGTGACCCCAAACCCTGAAACGTTCATCCTTCTTAATCAATCGTTGGTCCTAAACTCCGCCCTGAAGCCAAGTCCTCTGACCGCCCAAACCAGCCTCCGGCGAACAGTCTGCCTGCTGAAGCATGCCATATATTGCCGGATCAGTCAATCCAGCTCATGCAAGAAGCTCATGAAGCTCGCGCAGTGCCAGCTGCTCCCGCTGTGACGCGGCTGCTGCAGAGCCGCCTGTTCCAGCTAGCCCCATGTTCTGCGGAGGGCCTTCATGGCCGTCAGGAGCATCCTCGCAGCCAATCATATCCCTCGGCTGTGATCGCAGCAACTTGTACCCATCATCACTGAGAAAAGTCGAGGCGTTGACAGGTGCACGGTCATTATTTCTGACGTCACGGCGGCGCGGAGAAACTCAAGCCTTTCGGAGCAGAACACCAGGTTCTTGAAGCGAGAGCTCGATTCAAGATTCAAGTCCATTCCATTTTGGCCGCCGAACCTGAAGTGTGAAACGTGCTACAAATCTTCAACAAAGGGATAGCCGACATAAGCCGTCATGTTTCCAACTTGTCGGCTTCTACTTCAAAGCCCTACCAAACCTCAAACTATTGACTTGTTTCACACCAAACCCTGCAACTTGGCCTTGTGCGGCAACCCCCCCTCCCTACGCCCTCTACTTCAGTAGCTATTCCAGCCTCACAGAAGAAGATCACGGTTTTGGGGTAAAGCCGACCACAACGACAATACAGGGTTCAGGGCCTAGTGTTGGAATACTACCAGCACTGAGCCCTCAGACCCCTCTGATGCACTCCAAACCCCAAAGCCCGAAAGCCAGTATACCCTTTAAGCAACCTTGTACGAAACATAAAGAATCAGAAATCATGGATTAAACCATGGTTCAAAACCCTCAAAGACAACACTAAACCCGAAAGGCCAATTCACGCCAGGGCCCCAATTAGCCTTATCCCTAAACCCTGCACCCTAAACCCTAAGCCCTAAACCCCAACAAAGCCCAAAACGGCCTGCTCCAGCAGTCTTTGGAGCTCGTCGTACAAGCGCTTCACGTGCTCCGGGCCGATGCCAAGCGACAGGAGGTCAGCATCCTTTCTTGTGCTTAGAGGGGTTCAGGGAATGTAGGGTTTAGAATTTACAGGTGTGTCGGTTTAGGGGTGGTTTCTGGTTTGGGGGTTAGTGTTGAGTCCAATTTAGGGTTCTGGGGTTTAGGGGCTGGAATCTCTTTGTGACGGGTTGTGAGAGTTCCGCAGGGTTGTCTTTACCAAGGTACCTAAAGGGTCGTACCCTACCCCTTTTTCAAGATACCTAAATTTATGGTTAGGATCTGTTATATAAAAAATAGGTACCCTAAAAAAGGGGTAGGGTATGACCCTATAGGTAGTTTTGGAGCTCAGTAGGGCCCGGCAGGTTGGATTCGCACCGAAACCTTTGTTACAATGTCAAACCTCGCAGCTTTAATGACTGTGACAGGGCTTTGGGGGGAATTCTGCTGTGACTATACTGGAGAACCCTAGAAGCGGCTTAATAATTACAGTTTGGTGTGAACTTCAAGGAAGTTCTGTAAGGTTCCACGAAGCTTTTCAAATTACCGGGAAACTTCCGAAAATTTCAACAAAATTATCGGAAATCCCAGGAACTGCTACCAGTTTCAAGGCAAGTGTCTGAAATATTTTCTAGAAATTGTTCAACAAAGCTTTTGCGGAACTCATTTCCAGAATTGTTTCTGGAAGTCACGTGAAGTTGCAGCATGAGAGGTTGTCAGAATTAATTGTTCGTGGAGATCATTTCCAGAAACATTTGTGGAACCATTTGTGGAAATCATTTCCAGAAAGCACGAAATTCTAGGAATCCAGGGAAATTCTTGGAAACTTCAGGAAATTTGATGAAGGTGATATCCTTCGAAGCGGGCGGGCTTGTGCCTTTCGGATACTCTAAGAGCTATAGCAAAGCACTCTAAAAACCCAATCGCAACAAAAACACAAGTAAAGATATGCACAAGCTTTCAAAACCCGCCACAACTCTGAACAATCAACCCTCAACTCTAAATCCCTAAACCCCAAACCCCTAAGCCCGAAAAATCTCAACCCTAAACCCTAAACCCCTAAACCCCCAAACCCTAACCCCTAAACCCCTATAAACCCTAAACCCTGAACTACCCTAAACCCTAAACCCGAAACCCCTAAACCCCTAAACCCTAACCCCTAAACTGAACCCTAAACCCCTAAACCCTAAACCCTAAACCCGAATCCCTAAACCCTAAACCCTAAACCCTAAACCCCTAAACCCCTAAACCCCTAAACCCCTACAGTGTCCTGCTCCTGGTCCTCTGGCGTCTCTTCTTTCTCGGCCTGGGCGTCAGCAGCCACCGCCTTTTCCTGTCTTCGTTCAGAGGCTTTGGGGCTTCTAGGGTTTTAGGGTTTTAGGGCTTTAGGGTTTAGGCTTTTAGGGTTTTAGGGTTCAGGCTTTTAGGGTTTTAGGGTTTGGGTTTTTAGGGTTTAGGCTTTTTAAGGTTTAGGGTTTGGGTTTTCAGGGTTTTTAGGGTTTTAGGGTTTAGGCTTTTAGGGTTTTAGGGTTTTAGGGTTTAGGCTTTTAGGGTTTTAGGGTTTAGGGTTTTTAGGGTTTTGAGGGCTTTAGGGTTCAGGCTTTTAGGGTTTTAGGGTTTGGGTTTTTAGGGTTTAGGCTTTTTAGGGTTTAGGGTTTGGGTTTTTAGGGTTTTTAGGGTTTTAGGGTTTAGGCTTTTAGGTTTTTAGGGTTTAGGGTTTTTAAGGTTTTTAGGGTTTGGGTTTTTAGGGTTTAGGGTTTTTAGGGTTTAGGGTTTTTAGGGTTTAGGGTTTTTAGGGCTTAGGGTTTTTAGGGTTTAGGGTTTTTAGGGTTTAGGGTTTTTAGGGTTTAGGGAGTTTAAGGTTTTTAGGGGTTTAAGGGTTTCGGGGTTCAGGGGTCCGGGTTTTGGGGTTTAGAGGTTCAGGGTCGCAGGGTTAGGGCTTTTGGGGCCTTTGGGGTTTAGGCTTTCGGGCCTTTGGGGCTTGATTCACCAGTGCAAGCTGCAATACTACGTCAGTACTGCAACTCTTGATGTCACTTGTTTCTTCAGTTGCTTGACTATTGGTTGGTATTACTAAGCAGCATTATTACTATACCCTTGCTAAGACACGCATCGTGAAGAACAGGCAACCATCACTCAAAAGCCCCCAAAATCTGAAAACTTAGCGTTGAAGCCCAGAACCATAGCCTTTCCCAGAAGAGCAACACCCTGAAAGGATCCACCTCGAAACCCTTAACCCTAAAATCCTGAACCAGCAATTAAAATACCTCAAACCGACAATGTAACATATAAACCAAGACCCGATATCGACAATCCCTCGATACTTTGTTAGATTTAACAGACAAGGCTCCACCATGCCAGGGCAGGCGACTTCCAGTGCATGCTTCACCTGAGCTCTGGTGCCACTGGTTGGCGCGCTCTAGGTCTGGATTTTAGGAATTTTTGGTGCCGTTAAAGGGTGTACAAAGGCTACTAAAACGTATGTTGCTGGGTTTTCGGGGTTAGGGTGCCGTCAAAGAGTGCACAAAAGCGAATACAAGGGATTTCCTAAGTGTCCCTAAACCCTAAACCCTAAACCCTCTGCGGGTTTGGGGTTTAGATTTTGAAGCTCGAGAGTTGGGGGTTTAGGGTTGCTAGAGAGGCTAGCCACTTGCAGGTTTAGGGTTTCGGGTTCAAGGGTTTAGGGTTTTGGGTTTAGGGTTCAAGGTTTGAGGTGTAGAGCTTAGGGTTACGGGTTGAGAAAATTCAGAGTTTCGGCTTCAAGGTTCCAGGTTTACTACCTTAGCCCCAAATGACCTACCTGTTTATGAACTTATATTTAGACCGTTTTCAGGACTTATATTAAGACCGTCTTAAGGACTTATATTAAGACCGTCTTAAGGACTTATATTCCGCAACCATGACAAGGAACCCTAGAATGGTAGGTTCTTCAGGGTCCAAGTAGGGCTCATGGCTCGGCCAAACCTTGGGGACCAAATGACCGTAGGGGCCCTATACCCTTAGACTCTGATCCCTATATAGGGTTTAGGGTTCGGGGTTTATGAACCTTAAAACCTTTTGGGGTTCATGGCTCGGCCAAATAGTTTCAGCATGAGGCCAGGACCGATTGGTTGTCAGACGTTGAGTTCAGGACCCACCTGGACCCTAAGACACCTACCTTTTCAGGGTTCCTCTAATATGATTTCCTTTGACATGTTAGTTTGTTTGGGACTTGCTTACATGTCCTTCAAAAGGTAAGTTATTTGGGATTCTGGACTTAGGGCCCAGAGGCTTGCACAAGTTTAGTACCTGCGAGTCACAACACTCGTTCTGCACAAGACCGCCTAGCCATAGCAAACTAAGTTGGAAGCCCCAAAACCCTAAAGCTAAAGCCCGCAAGGAAACCAACAGCCCCTCAGCAGACAACACTCCCAAAGACCTACACATTGTAACCTGCTTCCTGAGCCTAAACCCTTCTCGCCGAAGTCTTTTGACATCTCTTGCTAGCCACTGAATGTCTTCATCCGTATGGATTAAGCCATGCAGGATCAATCGAATCCGTGTGCTGTTCCTCTCAACACTCCGTAACGAATTATCACAACCCGACAGAAATCGTTTCGATCAAGTTGGAACATCCTGTTGCACTCCGTAGACAAGAAGGTTTTCAGGAAAGCTCCATACCATGACCAGTGTAAAGAGTCTATATGCAGGCAGCTGGGACGCACTGGCTCAACGCAGGTGGAGCCTATTGAAAAGAGAAGCCCCTCGAACATCCACATGGGTGTGTCACATTGATAAAAATTAAGGCTGGCTGGGATTCTCTACCTACAGTCCTGCACAAATGGTGCCTAGGATTGAGGGTTTCCCAGAAGGGACAATACCTTGGAAAACTACCCATATCAATATGCCCATGCCCAGATCCCCCTCAACTCCAAAACAAATGCTCGCGTTCGCAATAAGACGATCGCTGGCAAGCGCACACCTAAGGCCTAAATCCTAAACCCTACGCAGGAAACCCCAACCCTTTGAACAAGACCCTCTCCGGCCTTTCAAGAAACACCCTCAGCGGCAGAGTACCCTAGCCAAAGACGGTTCACTCTTTAAGGGATAGCAGGAGTAGATAAGCCCCACAAGGTTAAAGGTTCCCAGAAACCCTGAACCCTAAACCCTTAACCCTACTCAGCCCCTACTTAAGGATTCCCAGAATCTCTAAACCTAAACCCTAAACCCTAAACCCTACTCAGCCCCTAAGCACCAGCCCAGTGACATGCTCACTGCGCCGCAGTTCACGGAAGGCTGCTGCGAGCTGCCTTCGCCAAGCCAACTCTAGGTCTTTCCGCTTCTCCTTTTGGGGAGGTAGGGGATATAGGGAGTTAAGGATTTCAAGGTTTGAGGGTTTCGGGGTTTTGGGGTTTAGGGCTTAGGGGTTTAGGTGTTAGGGCTTTCAGGGTTGGTTTTTTTGGGGTTGGGGGCTGCGAAGCAGCGGTGGGCCCAAATGATCCGGCTTATCGACCGACTACAAATAAGGGCTCCTGCATTACTTGTCAGTACCATTCTGTGTTATGTATGCATCCCTCATATATAGCCTCTCTTCTTCAACAACTAGGCCCAAAAAAGCTCAAACTGTTTAGGATAGACCTAATACACAAGGCCAAAAAGTTTAAGGTTCTCCCATTGGCTATCTAAGTAGCTACCTACGACTCTTCGGGAAAGGTGCTAGCAGACCTGGGTTGCCAGGTTTATGTAGAGTTTTTGAGATGGCAGGACGCGCTAGAATTCAGGTTCAGGGTTTAGGGTTTAGGGGTTTAGGGTTTAGGGGCTTAGGGTTTAGGGTTTAGGGGTTTAGGGTTCAGGGGCTTACAAGGGGTTTAGGGTTTAGGGGTTTAGGGTTTAGGGGCTTAGGGCTTAGGAGGAGTCATAAGCACGCTTTAGGGCTGACACTTTCAAGGGTTCAAAGATCATGGGCTTTGGATTTTTAGGGCCTATAGAAGTTTCGGCGAGAAGAACACCCAAGCTAGCCCCCCATCAACCCTAAACCCTAAATTCCTAAACCCAAAACTCGGCCAAAGATTGTGGAATGTAGAAGGCGTCCAAAAACCTCAGGAAACCCTGAGGCCCTAAGTCGTAAACTCCTGAACTTGAGAAACACATATAGTATGAGAGAACACTATATACTACACATATCCTTCTATCTATCTGTCTATCTATCTACCTACCTACCTAACTATCTATCTATCCATTTATCTGTCTATACATCTATCTATCTATCCGTCTTTCTTTCTATCCATGTATCCATCTAGCCATCTACCTATCTATCCATATATCTAGATTTCTTTCGATCTTTCGATCCATTGATTTATCTATCTACCTGTCTATCCATCTATCTATCCATCTAGCTATCTCTCCGTATTTGCATTTATATATAATCGTTAAATGAAATACAATAATTACAATAAAAAATACCTCACTTCCCCGCCCCAAAGCTCCTCCGTCTCTGCCGGGACTGGGCCGGGCTCGACTGGCGCCGAGGTCGGCGGGGCCGCGGCGGGCGCCGCGGCGGGCGGGGTCTCGGCCACTGCTTGGGCCTCACCAGTCCAAACTCTGGTTTGCAGGGTTTAAGGGTTTAGGGTTTATTCTATCGCCTTAATTATAGGGCTTAGGGTTTAGATTTTCAGAAAACTCAGGGGGCTAAGGGCCTGTTCGGGTTTAGAGCTTCGGGGACGTAGAGGGCTTAGGGCTAGCCCTAAACCCTAAACCCTAAACCCTAAACTTAAGGGTCCAGGGCCTCGTCGCCGGGGGCCGAAGAGGCCGCAGGCATCGGCTCATCGGCATCTGGCTTCGTGTCGACTTCCTGGGGACCGGCTTTTTGGGACTTCCAGTTAGGGTTTAGGGTTTAGGGTTTAGGGTTTAGGGTTTAGGGTTTAGGGTTTAGGGTTTAGGGTTTAGGGTTTAGGGTTTAGGGTTTTAGGTTTAGGGTTCAGGATTTAGGGTTCAGGGTTTCAGGTGAGGGTTGGGCTTTGTAAAATGCAATGGGGCTTTCGCTCAAAACGAGTTAAGGGTTTAGGGTTAAGGGTTAAGGGTTTAGGGTTTAGGGTTAAGTCTCAGCCAGTCGGCTTGACTTACCCACCTCTAAGTGAGGCTTGGGGTTTCTTGGCTTGAGAGTGCAGCGTTTGGGATGTAATGTAGGGGCCTTAATAACTAGAATGGGGCTTTGGGGTACACTATAATATAATAACAAGACGGAACCCCGAAATGGCATTTGTAATTAAACCATTATTCAGGCTTCTATAGTAGCCCTAAACCTTAAACCCTAAACCCCTGAACCCCAAACCTCTAAACCCCTAAAGCCCTAAACCCCTAACTTCTATAGGAGCCTGGAGTTGAGACTGTAGGATTTGGGCTGAAACCTGGTAGTCTCCAAGCTCCGGCGGCTGTCGTCAATCCTACACCCTAAACCCTTCGTGACATCTTTTTAGGGTTTAGGTTTTTTTTTGCACGACCCTTTTCCCAGGGTTTAGGGTTTAGGGTTTGGGGGTTTCTGATAATGAGGGGTACCTTATTTTGGGGTCCTTATACTCGGGATCCTACAATTTAGGGTAATATATTAGGGCCCTCTATTTTTGGAAACCCCCATCTTATTCCAGTGGTCATACTCCCTCAAATCCTGAACCGGCAACTCCAGCGTAAAGCCTTACACCGCATCCTTGCAACACTCCTTCTGGTAGCGCTTGCACTACCTTACACAAAGCCTACGGCCTACAGCAGCCCTTCCAGTACCCCTTGTAGTAGGCCTCATAGTAGCCCTTATCGGTACTCCTTACAGTTACACCGTAACGCCCTAACCCGAAAATCCAAAAGCCCAAACCCGAGAATCCTAAAACCCTACTAAAGTCCTAAACCCTCAAGCCCAAACCCCTAAACCGCTAAAGTCCTAAACTTCGAAACATACACCCTAAAACCCTACACCCTAAAAGCCTAACCCAAAGCCCTAAACCCTACAGCCCAAACCCTAAAATCCGAAACCCCAATTAACGCCCGAAAATCCGACTAAAGCCCTAAAATCCTAAACCCTAAAACCCTAAAATCCGAAACCCTAAAGCCCTAATATCCGAAACCCTAAATTTTTTAAAGCCCTAAAATCCGAAACCCTAAAGCCCTAAAATCCGAAACCCTAAAGCCCTAAAATCCGACTAAAACCCTAAAGCCCTAAAACCCTAAAATCCGAAACCCTAAAACCCTAAAATCCGAAACCCTAAAGCCCTAATATCCGAAACCCTAAATTTTTTAAAGCCCTAAAATCCGAGACCCTAAAGCCCTAAAATCCGAAACCCTAAAGCCCTAGAATCCGACTAAAACCCTAAAACCCCAAAATCCGAAACCCTAAAACCCTAAAATCCGAAACCCTAAATTTTCAAAGCCCTAAACCCCCAAAATCCTAAACCCTAAATTTGTAAAGCCCTAAACCCCCAAAGGCTCCGCCTCCATCGGCTCGGGCGCTGCTGCTTCCGCCGGCGCCGCGGGCGGCGCCTCCGCGGGGGCCGCCGGCGCTGCCAAGGCCTGGCTCAAGATGCGAGTAGAATCGGATAAACGGAAAGATAGATAGTCAGATAAATAAATAGAAAGAGATAGATAGACAGACAGTTAAGAAAACAGATAGAGATAGATAGATAGAGGGATAGATAGATAGATCGATAGGTAGGTAGATAGACAGACAGAGCGGTTTGGGGTTCGCTTCGAGTTCAAGGCTTTGGGCTTTACGGCTCTTAGGGTTTAATGTAGAGGCCTTCAAAATTACGACAGGGTTTGGGGCCCATGATACCACAATTCTGATGCGGAGCCCTAAGGAATGATATTCTAGTTTAGGGTTTAGGGTTTAGAGTTTCGGGGTTGAGGGGTTTAGGGTTTAGGGTATGTATTTAGGCTTCTATCCTGGGTCTGGGGCTGCGAGGATTGGAGGTCTTAAGTCGAGGCTTCCAGCTTAGGGTCAGCAAGATATTGTACCTCAACCTGCCAAAACCTGCTTTTTGTAGGTTCTTATTACCAACCCCATTACGGAATTTCTAGGGACCCTACGAAAAACTTGGTTTTGGTAGGTTAAGGTAGGGGACATAATATGTAGTTAACAGAGGGTTTTGGGATATATCGTACTATAATTACAACAAGGACCTCCCAAAATGATATTGGTAATGATTATTCAGGCCCCCATATTACCAGCACAACGTTCTATGCCCATGTGCCTACTGCTATAGCTACTCATCTACTTGCAGAACTGCTGCAATCTCGAAGAAACACCAAGCCGGAATTCCAGCAAAGGGACCATGTATGTGTCGTAGACAAACAGCTCTTAACCCGAAGCCCCATCAAACCTATGTTGCCAAGCCACAATCCAACAGAAGCGCATGGCACCCCCAAAGAATAATGCACTGTCATGCCGCTGTAAATCATGCACCCACCCACCCGACACTCGTCTATGCGCTTTACATTCCCCAAGAAACTTTCAAAACCTGGAGAGGGAAAGTGTGACAGAGCCTCTGCTGCAAGCACCCGGACAAGCACAAACCTGCAAAAACCTTGCCAAACGAAACCTCCGCAAACCCTCAACCCCCCAACCGCAAACAACAACAAGAAGCTCCAAATCCAAGCACCGGGTGCCAAGACCACAGCTTATACCTCTACAGTCCAAACTAGGCCTCTACTTCGGCGACTGTAGCTTTCACCTGTGGCAGAAGAGATTTGGGGCTGTGGATTTGGGGTTTCGAGCAATAGGGCTTTGTGTTTCAAGGTGTTGGCCTAACGGTTTTGGCATTGAGAATTCGGGCTTGGCTTCGGGGCTCAAAATGTCATTCACAGTTTTCGGTTCAGGGTCGATTGCATGTAGGAATTAAGATTCGTGGTTTGGTACATCGTATTGAACGCCTATTTGAGACCAATAAACCAAAAAGCATCCCTAGAAACCCCTGAGCCCTAACCCTCCAAGCCGTGTCGATCCATCTACAGGAACCCTTAAACGACCCCTTTCAGAACCCTTATATAACCTAAACCCTAAACCCTAAACCCTAAACCCTAAACCTATATAGGAACCTTTAGCCTTCAGCTCCTATAGATTCGAAGGCTACGATCTGTCACGCTGCCTCCCTGATCATGGCGACGGCCATGCGCAGCGTCTCCACCTTCAAAGTTTAGGGTTTAGGGTGTAGGGTTTAGGGTTTAGGATTTGGGGTTTAGGGTTTAGGGTTTAGGACAGAAGCCATGAGGGCTTTATGCCACCTTCAGAATGACAAGAGCCCGGAGTCCTGAGGGTCCAAAGAACACGATAATCAGGAATTTAGGGGTTCGTCTATGGAGTTCATACAAGGGTTCTATAGAAGGCTTTATCAAGAAATATAGAGGTTTTAAGGGTCCAAAGAACCTAACAATTGGGTAGTTGGGCTTAGGATAATAGTTCTGAAAGGAAAGTAGAAGAAATTCAGTACTAGGTACTTGGACCATTGAGAACCAAACGAACCTCAAAGAGCTTATGTTCGAAAGCCAAGCTGGCATCATAGATCCAGAGACACGAGGCACTCTGGAGCGGTTTCGAAAAAAGAGATTGTAAACCCTGTCTCAAAAGCCTCTTGCAGGGCCATTTGATCCAAAGCGATGCTTGCAAGAGGCAAGTCTTGCGGTCCAGCGTTTTGCAATGCTCGACGAACTCACGCTGCACAGCTGTTCCAGCAAAGACCACACACTGTTTGTATACATCTACTACAACATATATACACGAAAATAGACACGCGCGCATGCAACTTGTAATATACCAAGCAGACAAACAGGCAGCTGTACATACCGCATGCATTCGTGCATGCATTTCCTGTTTTGCCTTTCGTTCCATCCATTCCATTTACTTCCATTCCATTCCATTCCGATCCAGATTCACTTACAGGTCCTTCTTGAAATCCCCTGCATGTATACATGACGATGACATGTGTGCTGGGCAGTGCCTGTCCCTTCGACAGAGCCCTGGCGACCTCAACAGCATCCCAGTGCTTTCTGAAAGTTTTGCAAGGTTGAATGAGTTTACGTAGGGTTGCGGGCTCAGAATTTCATCACGAAGGATTCTTCGGCCATTTGGGTTTGAGGACTTAGTGTTCAGCGTCTAGGACTCCAGGTGAGCACCTGGAGCCCCATCTGCCTAAGCCCTGCCTATAGTCTCCAGTGTAGTTCCTTTTTTGTGGTTTTAACCAAGTATATATGAAGGATTTTATAAAGGTATCCCCAAAAAGGAACTACATTGGAGACTACCGGTAAACCCGAAATCTGCCTTTTCGAACTTTGCGATCTCGTCTCGCAAGGTTCGCACCTTCGCACAATTCTGGAAGGATTGAGTGCTTAGGGTTTAGGGTTTGGGGTTTCGGGGACTTAGGGTTTAATATTTAGAGTGTACGGCTTAGGGCTTATGGCTTACAGGGATTATGTAGGGCTTAGGCTTTTACGGCTTAGGGTCTAGAGAGCTTAGTTTTTGGAATGGTGTATGACTCATGATCGCAGTTTGCGGAGTTGCTGTGGGTGTATATTTACGCGCCTGGCGCTTTACCTACGCCGATTGTTTCGATGAGGTCCAAGCTCAAAGCCACGAAACGATCGAGGTCCGCAAGCCCCCAACCCCAGAACACTCAAACTGCATTAAACAAGCCAGACCCTCAACCCCTCAATCGCCAACCACAACCTTAAAACATCGAAAAACACTGAACCCCAGAAGCCACAACCCCAAAACCTTAAACCTCAACCACCCAAACCCCAAGAAAAACCCAAACCGCTAAATCCTAAACCCCCAAAACTCCAAACCCTAGTCCCAAAAACCCTGAAACTTCCGATCCGCATCTGCCTGGTGCACCGTCAGCATCTTCAGATCGCAAACCATTGGGTCGAGACCTGGAGCTCTTTTGCGAAGAAGCTCAGCGTCAGGTTTTAGGGTTTAGGGTTTAGGGTTTAGGGTTTAGGGTTTAGGGTTTAAAGTTAGCGAATGAAAACAGGTGCTATGCGAGATTCATAAGGATCATGTCTTTTGCCCGGCTCTCGTTGGGTGTTTGCAAAAACTTGCCCTCAGTGAGGCTCCTGAACAAGGAGCGAGCCGGGAAAGTAGGATCTGCTCGTAATGTAGGGGGGGCCTTAATGGTTAGAATAGGGTTTCTGGTTATATTATCGCATAGTTAGAATAAGGAGCCCTAAGGAATTATATTGGTAATTCTTTGGCTTCTATAGTAACTAGTACCTCCGGGATTTCTGTGCGCCGTGAGACTTTCGGGTTCTGGGATTTGACTCTGCGCGTGTAAAAAGCAGGTTTAGGGTTTAGGGTTTAGGGTTTAAGGTTTAAGGAACCAGCAGGCGTGAGTTTAGCAATTCAGGCAGGCTTCTACATTAGGTGTAGCTACCCTAAACCCTAAAACCCTTGACCCCTTGACCCTAAACCCTGAACCCCTAAACCCCAAACCCTTTACCCTAAACCACAAGCCCTAAACCTTAAACCCTAAACCCTGCACCCCAAACCCAAAACCCCTAAACCCCTAAACCCTAAACCCTAAACCTTACACCCTAAACCCTTAACCCCTTAACCCCTTAACCCTAAACCCCTAAACCCCAAGCTTCTCAGCAGAGATTGGCACCTTCCGAAGTCTGCCGAGTCAAGTCTCAGAGCGTCCAGGGGTCTAGGCCTTAGGGTTTAGGCTTGAGGGGTTTAGGGTTTAGGGTCTAGGGCTTAGGGTTTAGGCTTGAGGGCTTAGGGTTCAGGGGGTTTAGGCTTGAGGGCTTAGGGTTCAGGGGGTTTGGGCTTAGGGCCTTGGGGATGTAGGGTTTCGGGATGCTTGGGGGCTTAAGGCTAAAGGTTTAGGGTTTACGGTTTAGGGTATTTCGATGTCCTACCACTACGAGGTCAACCGGAAAACTCTAAGCCTGAAGTCGCAAAGACTTGCCCCAAGCTCCATGAATTCCTGAGCCGAGTGGCTGGGAAGAGCAGACCTGGACAAAAAGGCGCTTTTCGGTGTATGCGGTTTAGTGCATAAAAGGTATAGGGCTGATAGACTGCCGGTGTGATTAGGGTGTTTATGGGTATAGCAGACGGTATCACAAACCAACTTTCAAGGCTACCTACAGCGCAACATATGCTCTCGGATTAGGGCTGCTCCACTTCATGGCTTGGTTCGATAGTTTTCGCTGCAATTCAAGGTGCGGTCTCTAAGGCTCTAGCACCTTACATTTACATCTGCTCGACAGTACGGAAAGTAGACCTAGGCCTAGATTTGGGGCTGGTAAAGGTTGATTGGTCTCTTGCTTAGATCTCTGCCTGTTAACACTGTGCTGAAAATTGAACTTCCTCTTAGTCGCATACTTAGGTCACCCATTTTTTGGGCGGGATAGCGACTTTCAGACTTTATTCCGCGCTACCTATATAGCATGCTTGTGCGGCTTACTCGGCCATAACTGGAAACGCGATTGACAGCAACGTCGATGTCATGATGGGGGGGTAGGGTTTAGGCGGTTTGGGGTTTGGTAGCAAAGTTGACGATGGTGAAAGATCTTCAGGTAGAAACACAATGGGTGTATAGATGCTTAAGAAATTTCTCACGATGTCATAATAAACAAAACAGCGCTGACTGCGGTGCAAGCCTTCACTTTTTGCTTTGTCAAGGTCAGTTCGTTTCCTCCTCCCTAACCCCGAAACCCGAGTCTCCAAAAAAAATCTGGTCATTTCTAAAACTCCTCGACCCCCAGAGAGTTGACACCAAAAACACCATAAAGCCCGCAATCCCCTCACACGTTAAACCGTCAACCCTCAGCCCTGAACCCTAAAACTCCTAAGCCCCTAAGCCCTGAACCCCGATACCCGAAGCCCTAGGGTTGAGGATTTAGGGCTTAGGGTAAACCTTAGAACCCCCCAAAACCCCTAAACCCTAAACCCTAAACCCTAAACCCCGGCCTGAAGGCGGCGACGAAGGCCTCGCAACGTCGGGCCTTCTCGAGCCCGGCCTTGGGGGTGGGAACTTCCTTCTCAGATAGGGTTACTATAAGGGTTCTATGAGGAATCTACCTACCTAGTATACATATCTATATATATATATATACATACATCTAGATCTATCTGTATATATATATATATATATGTAGATATGTGTGCATATGTCCATGTACATAGAAAGGTTAAGGCTCAGCGTTTAGTTTAAAAAGTGGTTTGTCATTAGGATTGCAGGATTTGGGGCTAAGGTGTGGGATCTGGGGGTAGGGTTTAGGGGTTTCGGGTGGAGTGCGTGGGTGGCTTTGACAGCTAAAGCTTTTGAAGGCAGCGCAGGGCAACCATGAGCATCATCACCTGACACCTGAGACCAGCGCCGCCACAGCTGTTGCTACTTCTGCTCCTCTTGTCATCGCCGACACTCCAAAAACTCCACAGCAAGTGTGTTTTCGGAACCTTGGTACTTACTGCGTTTGAGCTGCCACCGTTCAAGTAACGGCTCTGAAAGACCAGAGACTCATGGGGGCGTACGGGGACGCGGGAGCTTGAACATTCGGAAGTGAACACTTTTCAAAATGCCATACTGTCCTGTGCTATACTGTGCCATGCTATGCTGTGCTGTGCTATACTGTGCCATGCTATACTGTGCTATGCTATACTGTGCCATGCTGTGCTATACTGTGCCATGCTATGCTGTGCTGTGCTATACTATGCTATGCTATACTGTGCTATGCTATACTGTGCCATGCTATGCTATACTGTGCCATGCTATGCTGTGCTGTGCTATGCTATGCTATGATGTACTGTACTGCGCTATACCGTGCTGTACTGTAAGAACACCAAGGCAACAAGCCCGAAGCAGCTCTTTGACCCTAATGTGCTGGCCTGAATAGCTACCTTAAGGACCAACTGAACCCTTTCAGGGTGTAACTATGGTGCAAGGCTCATAATACAAAATGTAGAAACTTGATACTGGTCGTGTGTCAACACCTCTAAGTATATGGGGACTTCCGAAAATAGGGGACCCCAATATAGTACCCTAAACAGTAGGCTCCTTGTCATCATAAGGACCCCAAAATAAGGTACCCCATTGTCGGAAACTCCCATATCAAGCTTAGCATCTTGGAGATTTGTGGTGCTAAGCTGTCTGGTCAAGCCCTCGACCAAGAAGCTGACTCTAAACCGTAAGGCATAGGAGCTTGACTTAGAAAAGCCCTGGTTACATGGTTCCTATCGGTACATTTGGATATCTAGAACCCACGCATCCTAAGCATGCCCCCCAAGCTAATCGCATGAAAACCGCCAACCCGGCTGGACAGGGTCTTTAACACTGCCGGGGCCCCCACCACAAGCGGCTTGCGCCTGGGTCAGACTTTACGATTTGAGCGCCAGCGTGTGGGGGTCTAGGTACTGGGTTGCGGGCTTCAGGGCTGGATGCCCAGAGAAGCTTGCCGAGTTCTTCTGTACGAGTATGGGCAGTGGATATCGGAATCCGAAATACGGGATTTGCTGAGTTTAGGGCGCATGGGAAAACAAGAAAACAGCGATAGACAGCATCACGCTGATACTGATACTTGTAGCCTAGTACTTAGTAGCAGCCCAAGACAACAAACACTCAAGCCGCCGTAATTGTTTTTCTGAAGCATGAATCGACCGAGGCAGGAAGTGTCAAATTCCAGGTAATTCAAACAAGATGTCTTCCCCTAGGGCTTAAGTTTTCGGAATTTGGGTGTTGAAAGCCAAGCCAATGACCATGGCTTTGTCTCTAGTGCAGTCTTACATATTAGTCTAAGCCCTTAACCCCTAAAAACTTAACATTAAAGGAAGAAAAAAGATTCCGGGTAGGATGCTCACAGTACTGAGACTAATACCCTGTCTTGCTACGACGAATTCTGCGATGTGGTGGCCGTTCTCGTGATGGTATTCGGTGAGTAAGAACACGTATGCAAGTGCGAAGTGTCTACACTACACGTTACATGTAACTCCTACAGTACCTTTTACCACGACTCCTGCAACATCAAACAGCGCCCGGGGCACCAGGGCTCTTCGCCAAAAACCGGGGCAGTTTCGGCTGGCTTTTCCGCTGCACCTCGCACCCAAACTCAAGGTCGCTTCTAGTGGCGTAGAGGCATGGAAAGTGGCGCTTAAGGCTTGTCGGCCTATGAGAGATGAAGGGAAGAGAGGCTAACGGGCGGATAGGTTCAAGCTCATTTACCTTTGGGACGGGACTCTTAGGCTTCTGGAGTTGGTGGGTTTGGGATTTAGACAGGTCTAGCTCCGGTTCTAAGGCTGATGCAAAAGGTTCGTGAAGTGACTGAAAAGCTTGCCAGTGCAGGTCCCCAAAGGTGCGATGACCAAGACGGGGCAGTTTGGCCCCGGTTTGCGTGTAAACATGCCCAAACCCACAAGTGGTAGGTGCTAGTTTTGTAAGTCTCCTCATCTGCAGGCTCAATCTAGCAGGCGTATCGGTACTAAGCCAAAGATACAAAACACAATGCGACGTTTTTAAGTCTTTTAAGTGTTGTCAACACCCTCGCCTTCTTTCGGATGGGCGGGTCGGGGCGAAACTGAGTTTGATTGCGAGCCTCCCCAGAAAAAAAACGAGCAGATGCACCAACATCCACAAAGGGCCTTTTGCTCTCACGTAATGATGCTACTCGTACACTATCAACCCTACCTCGGATATCCCTTATCATACTGGGGTAGCTCTGCAAAAGGAAGGATCCCGCCTAAAGTAAGACCGCCCCAAACCCTAAACCTTAATTACATAGCCCAAACACTGAACCGCAGTAATACGAATCTTTGTCTTTTTGACTTCGAGCTGGAGGCACCATACATAACTTTGCAAACAGACTTGCAAGACTGCTGCAATGTCTCTGCAAACTACTTAAACTTCCAGGCAACTTATGCTTTTATTTCGTGACACTCCTAAAGCGAACAAAACGGGGCTCTCGACCATAAGCCCAAAACCCTTAAACCCCCAAATTGCCAAACCCTAAACCCTTAAACCCTAAACCCCTAAACCCTACCTAAACCCTAAACCCGATTTTGGCTCTGCCGGCCTCCGGGCGCGCCCTCCATCGTCACGTCGACCGAGGCTGCTTGGGCGGCGGGCTCTGCTGCGACCAGGGCCTTTGGGTCCAAGGTTTGGGCTCTTGGGCTTCAGGGGAACACTTCGAGGCCTCCGAGACCTCAGCAGCGCCGTTGCTTGGCAGAGGATCCTCAGGAGCCGGTCCTCCCTCTGCAACCTTAGTGGGGTTTAGGGTTTAGGGTTTAGGGTTTCGGGTTTAGGGTTTAGGGTGTCTACATTGACATGGACCACCAGGAGATAGGGCCTCCTTAAAGCCCTCCAAAACACACCATGACCCCTTTAGCACGCCCTGCAAAAAAGGAACACAAACTCAAATAAAGCCACTACGGTCGAGCTTTATATTAAGAA